GGGGGGGGGGGGGGGGGGGGCAGGGTGAGAAGGGTAAGGGACCACAGCTCTGTGCCAAATCCTCTACCAACTGAAAAGGCATAATAGAAGACAAAATTCTGCAGTGCAAATAGAATGCCTAGGTTCAGGACTGGAAGCATTCCATTGAACATCTGTCCTGGTTTCCCGACTTCCAATGAATACATTCCAGAGCCACTGGGTGCATTTAATCTTCATTGGGTTTCTATGGAGCAGTGATTTCTCAGATTTTGTTTTTCTAGAAGTTTTGGGGCAACTCTTCCAAGCCTACTAAAATTTCTAGGCTATACAACAGTGCCCAGCAACTTCTTGGCACCCAGTGGCTGAAGAGGAGCGATTATAAGATTGCAAAGGATGGGACAATGAACCAAAGGAGCCTGTCTGGGTTATATCCCACATCTTGTTCAGTCCTGGATTTTCTTTTTTCTTCTGTAATGGAGGGGGAGCTGTATTAAGTATAAAAACTGTACTGTATTAAGTATATTTCAAGGCTTACACTGAGTTTCCACTCTTAAAATGATAGGGTAGTGCCATGTCAATTTCTGGTAATCAAATTGTCAACATTAAGTTGCAACACCCATTGGAGAGGGCCATGAGTCTGACAGCTAGAAAAAGAGATTTAGGGCTACATAGTATTAATTTATGGATCTCCTCCAACACAACTGTATCTATGATGATCCTTTTAACAAAGATTTAGAACAGAATCAGTAGAATAGGTCTAGAAGGAAGATACTGCAATTCAGAAGTATAAGGGAGAATCCTGCACATTGAACTACTATATCTTTTGCTCCTCAACAAACACAATGTACTTAATCAATTATTGGCCGAATCTCAGGAGCAGGCTTCAGTTAGTTCTTTTGTACTGGTATATTGGAATACACATAGGAATACTCCATGAGAAACTTAGAAACGAACCTTCAGTAGAAATTCATATACTGCATGATAGTGCTTGTACAGAGGCATGGAAACAACTGAGCTTCAGCACAATATGGTTCAGAATTTGAAATAATCAAATGAATCAACATTTTTCATTCAACAAAATTAGAATCTCAAAATCTTGTGCTGGTATTCTGAGTTTTCCCGCACCTCCTCATTTACTGGGCTACTGACTTTAATGGGATTTCACAAACATTCCACTGTGCTGCTGCTATGCTGCCTCCCCCCCCACAAAAAAAATCTTAAGCAGGCTCTGAAATACACTGAGCACACCAGCCCTGCTGATTTCAGTAGAAGTACATTAAGCATGTTAAACCTAGTAGAAATCTCTCCCACTTAAAAGTGCTCAACTCTGGCTCAATCATGCCTAGTTATTACGAATATAAGAAAGCTTTCATATACAAGTGGCTCTACACATAAAAGAACAGAAACAATCCAGGAAATACAGAGCTGAAGTGTCTGTTCTATGAAATTCACTGATGCCGTTGGATTCTGAAATAAGAAACATCTGTTATATACTATAGAACTGTCATGTTTTAAAATAAGACATTTTCCAGCAGTTGTAACAACAGATAAACACCATACTAGACTGGAAGAGGCTAAGAACACCATACATTATAAAAAGCAATTGTAATCTCTAAGGAACTGCAGATAATGAAATAGATTTAGAGTACATACTATGCAAAATTATGAGCACACTTGAAAACAAATATAAAACTTGTTTCTTGATTACCTAATTTTAGACAGAAACAAAATAGGATTAATTGAATAGATATGTACTTAAACCAAATTCATTTATTAGATTCCAAAGCTTGATTTTATAATGGCAGAAACACACTCTCCACACAAATTAAGCGCTGCTCACCTGCTTCTGTATAAAACCGATCTTAGTTTGCTTTTGAAACCAAGGAGAGCCATAAAAAAAAAAAAAAAAATAGAAACTACCACATTGCTGTGATGGATCTGGGCATCTAGTAACTTACATGGATAGATCCATGTTTATTTTCTTGGCAGTAGTATAGAAATGGTTTATGATTGCCACCTTTTGGAATTCATGTCCCTTTCCAGCCTAACCTACAGCCCTTGGATATCTTGGCAGTCATCCAACCCCTTTTTTTTCTCAAAATCAGCCAAAGTTGACTAAGTGGTACCACTTACATGAGTTGGCCATGAGGGAACAAGCATTATATTGCCTTATGTCAGCTTACACATAATTCCTGCATACATGATTCATTCAGAATCTACACGTGATTTCTTAGCCCATGGATCTAGCATGCCATGAAAGACACATGGCACATCACACAGGCAAATCAAGGCACTTGTACTTTACCTACAGCTTTTCACCTAGGAAGTTATAACATTTGAAGTAGTCCAAGATGTCACTAGGTAACTTTGATGTACATATCTACTCTCATATTGTACAATTCAAACAGAAGCAAAAAAAAGTTCTTTCAACCACTCATACAGCACAAAAACTTATGGTACCAATCTGGAGAAAGCTACTAAGGTTTGGTTCAGATGAAGTCAGTAATTATGCAGTACTTAGAACATCTGGACCTTAGTTTTGGATACAGTTAAATTGCCACAGATGAGAGCTGCATCCACACAGGACACTGAATAAGAAACCAGTAGCTTTTACAGCATCATTAACTTATTAATATGTTTGTGCTCTACCTTTCTTGCTTTGGATGAGCTTCTTGAATGACTCCCTTTGCGCTTTCCAGCTCTCACTCTACTGGAATAGTAAGTAATCTAAATGGTCAACCATCCATTAAATTCAACTTGATTATATCTTGCCCTTCAGCTCCCATAATTTTCAAACATCATCTAGCTGCAATGCATCATGGGATTCCATTACTATTAGACAAATAGGCAATCAAAATCATTTAATATGGAACAGTTGTCCTGTGATCCTCTTTCCTTCCATGTCATAATACTTATAGTTAGCTAATTGTAACACTCACTACCTACCACTTACAAGAAGAGTCCCACTTCTCTGTATCCCTAGTTCAGAGAGCAAGACACTTCACAGCATCGGTGTTACCTGTACTTGAAAAAATGCTATACTGTACTCCCAGTTAATTAACGTGGGGAAAAATGAAAGTACATTTAAAACACTCCTTTTCCTCTAAAGAAGTTTTTACCCACTGGGATATGTTCCTTTGCACTTGCCCAAGATTGCTTTACTGCCATTTCTCTTATCTTTATATCAAAATACCAATAGCCTATAAACGTTTAAAAAGGCTTCCTTTACTATCTACATGCAGGGTGGGGCAAAGAAGCAAAAATTCGTAAGTTAAGCTATAGAGAATTCTCTTTGCTTATCATCTATTTTTATACACTGCAGTTTACTTCATTCCACTCTTTCTCACCAAAGAACAAAGCAAAAATAGATGAACTAAAAACCTAAACCAGCACCTGGAGAAGAAAAAAAAATCATGAACATGCAGTTATGTTCACAAAGAAGCCTCTTGCTTCAGTTGTGGTGTAGACAGATTTTCACAGGCTTTCTCCATTATTACGCTTCTTAGCTATCACATGCTTACCCATCACTCTTTATTACTGTCTCGTTTACCGTATAATTCGCCCCCACTGTTTTAGGGGCTTTTTTCCGAATTTCTGGTTTGTCCCACCGATCTGACGCTCTCTGCCAGCCTGACATTTGCTGCTTAACACAATTCTTAAATTCCTTGAAGCACACGTGAATAAACAAAAGTTGAGGACAAATCATTCCGCCACGATATGAGCAGGCTCTCCCGCTGCTAAATCATGAGGGTCGGGAACCGCCTGCCCCCAGGAGCGCCCAAAGAACGGAGAGGCTACTCCAGGACAACCCAGAGGCGCGCGAGAGGAAGAGCCTCACGCAGCCGATTCCTTTCGGGGGAAAAGGGAACATCTGCCGCTCCCAGAAAGAGTCCCCAGCGGGACCACCCTGGTGCTGGGAGCGACCGGAAGGAAGGGCGTCACTCACTAGTGCCAGGCCTGGAGAGCAGCAGCAGAAAAACAGTCATCCCCAAAGCCGCGAGGTGGGCCAGGGCCCCGCAGCCGCGCCGCAGCCAAACAAACACACGGCACCTTGCGGGGGCACCCGACATTGCGAAGACTTCCTCCCCCTCCTCCTCCTCCGGCGTTTATTGTAGGAAGGGAAGGGCTGGGTGTGGTTTGCAGCCGGCTGCAACTCACTAGCACCTGTTGGGAGGGGGCGTAGCCCGGGAGGAAAGGCTACAAGGTCTTCCCGGGCGACGGAATGCGGGAGACGCCAGTGGACGAGTTCCGCTTCTATTCCCTTCTTTCGTGACAGCCAACAACGCTTCCTGCCGCCCTTTTAAGGATTCAGGTGGTTTGATTGGAAATCACCAGGCCCCAGTAATCTTTCAGCCCGAACACGTGTGAAGAAAGGCTCGAGAGCCAAGCGAGGGAATCTGAACGTCATGCCCGCCCCCGCCTTACACAGGCTGCGTTCTCAGACCCGCTTGCCCATAGTAGAGCATGCTTCACTCCGATCGGTATCCTGGCGTTACATGGCACCTCAGGCTAAAGTATGGTGAGTTGGTTTGGGTTACACCCACTGTCTAAAATCATACGTTGAATACATCATACATACCTTGCTGTGCAGCCTTTATAGATATTGGACTGGCAAAAGCCTCATCTTCTTAATCACTTTAGGATTTAATTGCTTTACAGAGAGATTCCTAACAGCAGGAAGGTTAGGTTAGGTTGTCTCTTAGGTTGTAAAGCAATTAAATCATAATCTTAACTTTGAAATTGAGAAAAAGGTTATCTTAAATTAGGATTTTAATTTAAAAGCAAAAGTTTAATAAGACTGCAATATAAGAAAGTTTCAAACGGACAAAGAGAACAGTGATTTTAAAAAATAGAAGAAATAATTTTTCTGATGAAAATTTAAATAGTATTTAATTAGACTAACAGGACAGTTCTTCATGGGAATGCTGTATGTTTATTTTTACGGACAGTAATAATTGGTGGATTTTATAAAACAAGAAGGTAAGAGTAATATGAACCAGACTGTATGACTGACTATGGAGTGCCAGTTGGGACTAAAGTATTAGATAGAAGCAAAACAGGAAAAAAAAGAAGCTTGCTTTTTACTTTTATTGTAGTAATTGACACACTTTCACTTTCTCACTACGGCAATCACAAGGAAAGCTGCCAAATTGGGGCAAGAACGCAGGGGTTCATTAGAACAAATTACAGTAAGGGTATTTCATTAGATTTATTGCAGAACATGTTTGAAGAATTTGGCAAAAAGATGACTGCAACAGTTAAAAAGGAAATGGAAGAAGGATTTGCAGGGATGAAAAAAGATCTGAAAGAAGAAGTTAAGAAAATTAAAGAATCTGTAGGACAATTGGCTGCAGACTTAGAAAAAATTACTGGCAAAATAGAAGTTTTGGAAAGTAAGACAAAAGTTATAAATATAGAGATGGAGAAGGATTTGGACAATTTGGCATTATTGGAACTGAGAGAAGAAGAATTCTGCTTTAGATTCAGAGAAATCCCAGAAGAACATGGAGAAGATATCAGAGAAAAGATTGTTAAAACTCTGTCTGATTTTCTGGATTGGTACTGATAGATTGATAAGGCCTATAGAATCAATACACATTTTGCAAAATTAAAAAATGTTCCAAGGGATGTCCTTTGTCAAGAAGAAGACAAGAGACCAAGTTCTACAGCAGCATTTTAATACTAGACTGAAGATTGATAATACAGATGGAATTGTACTTAAGGAAATCCCAATAAGAATACTACACAAGAGAAAAGAGTACTTTTTTCTGACAAATGTAAACAGAAGAAAATTCTATTTAGATGGGACAAGTTGGAAGAGGTGATTTTTGCTTTTAATCAACAGAGATTTAGGTTGAATTCTGTGCAGAAAGCAAGAGATTTCCTGAAAAAAAATTAAAGAAAAATTGGAAGAGACACAAAGGGAAGTGGCAATGACAGATGAGACTAAACAAATGCTACAACAGATTGAAGACACTGAAGAAGATCCCATGTTGGGCACTACAGGTATTTACTTTTCCAAAATCTTGGACTAATGGATTATAAATGCTTAATGTGGAACATAGTTGGGGCAAATGCCCCTCAAAAGAGAAAAAATAATAATTTGAAAAAGTGAAAATAAGATGTGATTTGTCTGTAAGAAACATATTAAGAAAAAAGATGTAAAATATTTAAATCACAAAAATCTGGGAGAGGAATTTATTTCAGCAGGATTTTAAAAAATGGAGTTGTTTTGTACATAAACCCCCAACTATATCCAAAACTTATCTTGACTGATGATTATGGCAGATACGTTGGGGTGGAAATCACTCTACAGGTGTGATGGACTGGAATGGTGGGAGGGAAGTAAAGAATGTGCTCTCATCTCCAGAGAAGCGAGGAAGAGATAAGCGGAGGAGACTGGCACCTCCCTAAGAAATTTCATCGGTGTGAACTGCCTGAACATGGGAACTGGTTTCATTCTGGGAAGATTCTTGATAAGGAGTTGTAGCTAATAAACCTTGCTGGATTGATTCTGCATGGTCTCCTGGAGTTCCTTGGGCTAGGCCTATCAACAGGGGGCTAAGACTTTGATATTGGGAATTTATGCCCCAAATGAAGATAAAACAGCATTTTACAA